GAACTGCAGTATTAAAACTCGCTGAAAGTAATGACGAACATGAAAAGATTCTCATTTCTTTCCAATGGGACACTACACAGTGTAATTTTCTATTGCTCATGTCCTAACACCAATGCTCACGGGTAGAATTAGGAATATTTCAGGAGAAGAATCATACATTAAAAGCTCATGTTAATGTTTTTAAAATATATGTAATGATTAAAAACATGACTCTACATACTGGATATAATAAAATCCTCCCCTTCTGGCAGGCCTGCACAAACCACAGACGAGCTTAAAACTAGTGGACAGTGACCCTTTAGAAGAAGCAAAGTTGAAAGCATTTTTGTTGTACTTGTGGGGTGAGGGGAAGAGAAGCGACACAGGACCCGGGATTGTGTTTTGCTGGGAAGCATGACGACATCCAGAGAAGGAAGGGAACACTCTAAGCCTTCTGGCCTAAATTATCTGCTAACACAAATAATCAAATTCCAGGGACCACACTGCTCTGGCGCCACTAAAACAAGGGGGAGGCCTGGCCCAAGCACTACATTAGCAGGTGGCAGCCCGCGTCTGACCCACTCAGGATATTCAAGTGCGATATACAAAATACTGATGCTCTCTAAGGAAGCCAGCATCGCTCACAGTATCGTGGGAAGTTTTTAATGGCTTGCTCAAGGCAAGGCCTCTGAAATGTTTATATTAATACTTACATGTTGGATAGCCACTCATTTGGTCTCAGCTGGAAATCCGTCCAAACAGCTGAGAAACATCTGGCCGCTAACCTTGGACAACATATAATCTGGTAGCCCAGGGATTTAAGAGGTCTCTTCGGAGGGAATGAAGTTTGGCAAATATCTTACTGAAATCTCTGCGCTGCTACAGTTGTTTCTCAAGTCCAAAACACTGCTACAGTATTATGCATGCAGTCCTTCTATATCAAAATCCTATTTATGCACCAGCTGGGTCTCACTAATGAATACAAAAAGCTTGAATTATACATTACTCCTAATTTCCAGGAATGCTTCTGGAGGTGTGCAACTGCGTGTGCATTTCCCCAAGACACATACAGAAGAAAGCAAGCAGCTGTTTGTCAACTCAAAGACACACCTCTCTCCCAATTATTTTGCTCCAGTTTGTGTGCGCTCAGTATCAGTGCTGCTAGCCCTACAGCTTTCTTTCCACTCTTATCTTCAATCTCGCAGCACTCACTATTAACAAATAAGACTGTACCTGCCCCAGACAGCCTCCACAACAAGGTAAATAAAAATCCGGTGCTATAAAGACTTGGAGAGCTGTATCCAGCAAACCGTCAGTAAGTTGTTTTCAAGTAGACCTACAAAAAGGGCGAGCAGAAGGGAAAACGGACTCTATTTCTCATAAAGATGGCTCAAAAGGTTGCTTTCCTACTCTTTCCAAAACTCCTGCTTGTTTTTTTCCCCAAGAGAAATTTCAGCTTTGGCTATCCTGAAACATTCTTTGTTGAGCAGAGCTAATGAAATATGGTAACATAAAAGAATAAACCTTGAACAACTGAGAGGGGAAGGGAATTTCAGACAAGCCATTTGACATTTATTCTCCTCTACTGTTACCCATCAACGTACTGCAGTGCTTTCTAGATATGTCAGGGCAAAGCCACCAATAACCTAGCTGGAGAGGTAGAAAATTAGCACAAGATCCACCTTTGCAAAAACCCTTTGTAGGCTTTATTTAAAAGGAGATAAGGATGAAAAAGAAGACATGATGCTTGACAGATATAAAATGATGAGAATCTAACTTATCTCCTTATCTTCCACATCTCCTTCTGCTCTTTGCTTTTTTGTTGCAACAGATGTGGGAGACATTGGGAAAACAAAGGCACAAGCACCAAGGACACAGCACCAAGAAAGGAGGGCTAGGAAGAAGATATGCAATAAAGGCTAAAACAGTCTCTTTCCTAGGAGAGACTAAGCATGCTGGCTCTCGTCCAACAAAGCACTTAAGTGTGTGCCTAACTTAAATTTGACTTTACTGGGGCTCTTCACAGGCTTAAAAGTTAAGCACATTCTTCGGCAATCTGCTGCAGCAAAACTGGAGAAAATGAGAAGCTATTAAAGGACCTGAATTTGAGTTAACAGCAAGGTTAACGTACTGTTGTAAAGCATCCTAGCCAAAGATTAATGCAATGTGACAATTTCCACTGACTTCGGAAAACTCTACAAAGCCATCAGAGAAAGCATCTTAAATTTAAATAAATACATAAAAGTTTTAGATATTAAGACCACTACTATCAAATGCACTTGACCTTCTTTTAGCTCACGGTAGGTACAGCTTGAAGCGGACGCACGTATTTACAGATATGTGCAGAACTGGAACTCTCTTGTTTCAGTGTAAGCTGGTGCCAGCTTGGAAGAATACTGAACTGACTGTGCTGCTTCTTGGTGTAGGAAACACTGTCCTGTAGGTAAAGCTCTGGCCTCAAGTGCCTCTCAGCCAATTACCAGGCAAGCCACAGACAACACCTACAGTCCTAGGCAAGACACCACACGGTCAGATGTTCTGAAAAGCAGTAAGACCACATTTCTCATAGATTCTTGCACTGTCAAGGACCCCTGAACATCCTTCTTAGGCTTCTGCTTCCTTTGTTAAAATTAGCATAACTTAACGCTTTTCCCCTACACCACATCTGCCCAGTACTCCACATGGAGCTCTATTATCACAGCTCTTCAGTATCACCAAGATAAAAACCATTCAGACCAACCAGTTTTCTTTGAATCAGGCCATTTGCCCAAGAATTAAGGGCATGACTGGACTCAGTTCTGCACTTGCTGGCTGCTTTCCCTGCTGTGCTACTGTACATCCTTGCACAATTCTAGCTAGAAACGAGAGGCCAGTACTGGCCTCTCACAGAAAAATTCATGATACACATCCTGGCTTTAAAATTATTACTCTAATGATGATAGAAGAAACTTAAATTTTAAATCCAAAGCACTACAAGAGCCACAAGAGTACAAAAAAGGCTTATTTAAGCATACACTCCCTGCATAAACAAACAAAGTTTAATTACTGCAGAGCAAGAAGCAAATAACAATCAGTCTTTATTAATAATTAAAATCTCACTGCTGTGCTGATTTTCCCCCAGCAAACTAATACTTGCATAGGGAGAAAGTCATGTTAAACAGGCTTTAAAAATCGAAATTGATGCAGGATAAATAGAAAAAGTGGCTCTCACAAGAGGGCCTAACATTTAAATTAAACAGCACTTGCACCTTACTCAGACTGAAGTGTTGTAAAGCTTGCTAGCTCCCTCTACTGTCTTCATACTATTAGCTGAGTCAAATATTTTTTCCATGTCCACTGAAAGGAGAGACAGGTGAAATTTCTTATTTGAAGTGTCCAGTACAAGGTATCTGCTGCAATAATGCATTAATATAATCCCTTAAAGGAACCATTACTGGGTAGTCACATGGAGACTTCTTGCTTAGTCTTCTTCCCTGAGCACTGTTTCAATCACCTTCAGCAGAATCTGCTCCAAGGAACACCACGTTTTATGGCTGATACGCCTCTTGTTCTATGTATCATCTCTTCGTACCTTTCCCTTAAGAGACACCGGTTCAGGATATAAACTGAGGATCAGCAGGGGTCAGCCAAAAACCTTGCCTTTACACTGCCAGAGGTAGAATAAAGACAGGTAAGATGTGGGTTCATTTCCCCACTTAATTTCTGAAGCATAAACAAGCAACTAGCATCACATGGTGACTGCGGGGTGACTGGTCTCTTCCACTACGCAATCCAGAGGTCACACACATGGACAAAGCTAAGATACAGATTCAACGGCAGCTGACTTTTACTACGTTCTTTTTCCATTCCACTCCTACCTGGTTTCAACTGGAACATTAGCGCATTGGAGCACTGATATGCTCAAAGAGTAACTCTTACCTAAGTAAATTTACAGTGAATCATGTTTTTTCAAGGCACCACTCAACTTCATATCACATTTTTGTTAAAACATGACTCTGGCTAGCATAGATCCAACAGTAGCACAGCTCAGGGTCAAAGAGGAATATTCTAACCTTTACAACTTACAAAACAAATCAGACAATCTCAAGAGTTTTAAAACCATTACTTGAAGTACAAAGGTTGGGGAAGGTGCCAAGCATGCACCACATCCTACTGAACAGGACAAGGACATTCTTACAACAGCTCTGAAAAACAGAGATATTCAAGAAGTGCACTATATTTATCAAGCCTTCTTCCGAGTCTCATTTAACGTTTTTAGACGTCAAGCTACTTTAAATAAATACACACACAAGATGTTGACAAAGTATCAGTCACATTGTCTTCATAGATACTCTGAGCTATTAAACGACTGAAAAATATTTTAGGCTAGAAGATAGCATTAAGTTTCACAAATACAGGCCATCCCCTTTTACATTCCTCCACCCAGAAAGAAACTTCTTTCACCAAAATTTTGAAGTGAATGCACAACAAGTATCTTTGGGCAATCCTCTTTAATTGAGACACTCTACACCTGAAAAGGTCAAAATTTCTCAGGCCCATTTTTATCCAGATTTGGGAAGAAGTTCAGCTTCATACAGTTCACGATTTGAAAAAAAATAGGTAAAGTTTCAGGCTGTGAAGCTCCTCTTTTAACCCGACAGACGATATAGCACGTGTACAGTTGTACACGGATTTGATTCCCTTTGAAGGACTACAGCACATAAAGGTCGTTGCAATAAGAGTACCTTCAGATCACAAATACATCTAGAAATTCATTTCAGCAGTTCCTTACTATCACAGAAACATTACCAACCGCCAAGTCTGTATGAGTCTGCTTGAGGTTTAAGCTAAAACTAAGGATTCTCCTTTGCACAGAACGCTTGAAAGGCACAGCAGCAGCAGCTGGGTAAAGACAATTGCCTTTCACCACCAGTTTTCATACTTTACTGCTAACTAAATATGATCTGCAGGAAGATACTTCCAACAAATCAAGAGTTCCACAAGGGATCAAAATCCTAAACATAAATACAATTAAAGCCTTCTAATATTAATGCACACTTTTTATTATATTAAAATCAGGCAATGGTCTGATACAATGGTAAGGCTGCTTATGGAATACTGTTATGTTAAACTTTAATTACAGAGGATGTTAAATCCTTACAACTAATATTTTCCTTAAAAGTTAATGGAAACATCAATTGTTCTTTGACTTGATAGCTGCTGCTTTAAAATGTGTTTATTTTTCTTTTTTCTTTTTTTTTTTTCCTTACACAAACACTGAATTTTTCATAAAACTGAGGACACATTAGGTTGTTTGTATTTAAGCTTGCATCCACATTTCAGCAATTAGTGGTCCAAACAGTAAAACAGAAAAGGCAGTGATTTGCCAGGACGCAAAGCCAAGAAAGGTCCTTAATCTGCTGTATACACCACTTCCCAAAAGTCTTCATTGAAGCGTTTTCTCTTCCAAAACTTAAAGAATCCTAATAAAATCTAGGCTGACTTGATTTGTCTGTGGTTGTCACATCTTTAGAAGGGCAAAAGATAAGTGCATTAGTTAATTAACATTCTTGGGTCAATCTGAAGCACTGACATGTAACTAGTTGAACTGGAGTGTGTATTTAGAATCTCTATGTGCAGGTTCCCCATTAAAGTTTGGCAGCAGAAGATTTCAGCAATCCTGGTAAATTACTGCTCTTTTCGCCATGTCAAAAGCCTATCTAATAACATCAGCCGTGGCCAGCTTGGCGGTGTGGCAGCAGTGCCAGAGGGCAGGGGAAATCCAAGTTTGCCAGCAGAAGAGATACTCGTTTCCCAGGCTGGTGCAGACTAAATTTGTCGCAAAACCAAAACGGATAAGCATGAGGGAACAGGTCAAGTTATTGCCCCAACACTTACCCCTGCTGACCAGGGGTGAGAAGAGTCACAAAAAGGGGCAAAAAGAAAGCAGCACCCCCACTGTAAAGAGGGGAAGAGAAAAGAGATTAAAAGAACCCTGAATCCCTCACCCAAAGCCCACGTTACTGGTGAGGGAGACCAGGAAGAAAAATACAATCTACGCCTTGGCCAAAGGGAAGAAGGAAAGCTTGCCCCATATTATCAGGGCATTTAAAAAAAAAAAATACAAAAACAAAAATGACCACAGTCACATTCAGCCTTTACTAGAGATAGCACAAAGGGAGGGATGACTGAGGTTAGCACACATCCCCATTAGTAGTCCATAAAGCCCAGTGTAGTACTGGAAGCTAAAACCTTTGTGTCTACTCTAATAAATAGCCCTGAGCTTCGACTCTATTGCAAAAGACAGAAAGAAAAAACCCAGGCCAGACACACAGCAAGGTGATTGTGGGATGTATGCTTTCACAGTTAAGTTAGATGTGCCACACTGGTCTTGACAGTAATAAATTTAAATAGACTTTTCCTGATACCAGAAGTTCAGCTATGTGGACAGTGGTTACACAACAGGATTATTTGTTATAGCACAACTTGTATTTCAAATGAAAAAATTAGTATCATTTACAGTATCTCAAGAAAAACTTCCTTTGAATGGGAACTTCCTTTCCAGTATTTTGAGGTCTACAAGATGCATCTAGAAAATTTACTACTGTGGAAAATGAAGACAGCTTAAATTGAGTAAGGGGGGAACATGATTTTTTTTTTTTTAATTAATTGCTGTAACATTGTCCTTCAGGTGGCTGAGGAAGTTTCATATTTTCTTTAGACATCATTAGACGCCGAAGCTCTTGCAGAACAACTTTGATACTATAAGAATTCTGCCATTTTGCTAGGACTGATATGGCTCTGGGGTCCACCTAAAATAGACAAAAACACCATTCCTGTCAGAATCAGTATCTGTGATACTCTTAACCCACCGCACACCCTCCAACTAAAGATCCTACAAGGAATCTAAGTGGAAGAAACAAAAGAAAGCGAAAGCAAGCATGTGGTTTCCTAAAAGCATAATAAATCCACACAGGTTGGAACTATGTGCAAGTTGTAAACTGACAGAAAGTCAATTCTACATTTTTATTCCAGAATATACTTGGCTTGTATACCTTCCTTCTACCCCACTCCCCCTTCTACTCAAAGAAAATGGTACTGACAAGCAATAGGTAGTTAAACAAATTACAAGTAAAAAATAAAGCATTAATTTGAAGCTGCATGTGTAAACCATGTTAAAATGAATAAAAACCAAAAACTTACCACTCCATTAGAACTATTTACTCCATTCATATTAATTTTTGTTACAAATCTTACAAATGGAGGTGCTTCTGGATACTTAGGCCCACATTCTATTTTAAGGCTGTATATTCTGTTTTCATAAATTGTCTGGGGGGGAAAAAAAAGGAGGGGAGAACAATTACATCAGGAAGTCCAAGAATCATTTGTTTAAAACAGTAGTTGTTTTAGGGATACAAAAACCGCTAAACTAAGAGCAGCCATTTCAAACGCTGTTCTGGCTACCTCTGTTTTGGGGTTGTTTCTGGTAATATTTGAAAGTTTTAAGTATTGTGCCTTTAGGGTATTAAATTCTACTGCTCTCTTAAGCATCCAACATATTTACATATTAGGAATGAAACCAACATTGCTTCCGGTTCACTAACTGAAACTATTTTTCTTAACAACCACATAGTTCAGATACCCACTTTTCAACCCACCCTTATAAAGCAGTTTCGTTTTGACAATTTACTAATAATCAGATAGCTAAAGCTGTGGCTGCAGTTTCAAGCTAGTCTTGGGCAACCATCTAAACTCAGGCTGTCCCAAAACTACACTTAAAAAATATTCTTTGGTCATAACTCAATACACCAGGTGTCAGGAACAGGAATGCTCCAAAATTTAATACATTTCAACAGCACATCCTGATCCCAAACAGCACTATCCCTTTGTCTGCACAGCAGTAATACTCTGTTATGCTTAACCGTTGAAACAGAAATCACAAACTTTTAACTAATCAATCAACAGGTACAGAAAAGAGTTAAATGTAACACGGCTACATTGATTCTGCAATGTTTAAGAGTCATTAGAAGAAGCAAGAGCAGTTAATGTTGTTCTGCATTCTGAGAATACAGCAAACTACTATTTTTGACGTGTTGATATAGAGCTGTCTGTCTCAGAGCACCAACTAAACCGGGCAACGTAGGCAGACAGTAGCACACAACAGGGTTGTCATAAGAAGTTCAGGCAAACAAGCTGTCCAAATTCAGAGTTTCTGACACCATTTCCTGGACCGTCGACATTGCAACGACTATTAAACTGCCCAGGCAGTGATCAAGAGCAAAAATCGCAGGCAGGGCTAATGCGAGAGCTCAGAAGCCCAGAAACAGAAAATAGTTCCTATCTCCAATTGCAGCAGAGCAGTAGGGCTCTGCTAGCACCTTAAACAAAGGGAGTAGCCTAAGGCACACAAACTTCTCCCTCATATAAAACTCAGTGCAATCCCTTGCAAGGGCCCATTATGCCCCGAACATCATCTTTATTTTCCCTTTTAATATTTATGAGCATTTTGATGCAAAACGCTACATAAAACAAGAATTGGCTTCCCAATTCAGTTGCTTTGCCTCTCTTTCTGGAGATAAAGAGGTCTTAAACTGGTCTGTAGCCCCCCAACAAGTGACCAGCACCCAGCTAGCAGTGACACCCAGTGGTCACTCCACCAGAGTGGCTTCTCCAGCACCTCAGCAAGACCCACTTCCAGATACCAAGACGGGACAGCGGCAGACTGAATGCTACTGCAAAGCTGAGAGGAAAATCACATCAGCTCCGCCTGGGCTTCCTGGTACTGGCCAGGTCTCTTGGCAGAGTCCCTGACTACGCTTGTGCGCAGGGCAATTAACACCACAGAGGTTCGTGCAGGTTTTTAGGCTCCGTGCAAATAACCGTCACATAAGACTAGTGAATGGAAAGTCTGACCACGCACATGTCTATAGCCAACAAAGTATGTGCAGACAAAGCTGAAGTTTTGACAGTGCCACTGTTTTTAAATAGCTTGTGTAAACACGATGAATCACTGGCTGCAAAACCATCCGCACAAAGTCTGGGAAGGAGAAGCATGCTTCCATGTATGGTAGCAGGGACAGTCCAGAGAAGCAGCACACATCTAACTCTGCACTACTGTTCAGTTTTCCCTCCATGGTGCCCAATAAAAGATTCTTCCACCTGCTACAAATATGACTATTTTCCACCCAGGAGGAAACAGGGTTTTGAATTTTTTTTCCACAACCAGCATTTCTCACATCCTATTAAGAAAAAAAAATGGTAATAATATAACTGAGTAGGAACAGTTCTCAAAACAGAACAACCATCTAGCAAACAAGAATGACTGAAAGTTTCCAGAATCTCTCTTAATATAAGCTGTTGCTTTCAAGCAATAAGCTCAATTCAAGAAGCCAACATACTTTTGGGGGAGGGGGAAAAAAAAAAATCTATACTCATTAGCGTGTCAGAAAGACAGAAGAGGCACAGCTGAACAATCTTCTGTGATAGTCGTCTAGCCCGGGCTGGCAGTATGACATGAACTACAGATTTCTATTACTGCTAAGTCAGTATATACCTATTTGCACATTTCAGTTTCAATTCAAATTTTTAAATTAATTTCAAATTTGCTTGAATTTTGCCTAAGGTGTATGTGCACAGTGAGCTTTCTTCATAATCTTGATGCAGGCTCACTAAAACTCTCCTGAGGTTCTAAAATCAAATGTCATTCTGGAAAACAATTTGGGCATACCGTAAACAAATGAAATGATCACACATGGGGAGACATTAACAATGGCAGATAAGAAGCAAACAACATTTCTGGATGAGATAGACACTATTGCACATGTAATATCACTGTAATATAAATTTCTTATACAACCTCATCTGTTGTCAGAAAAGGCAATTGATAGAATGGAACACACATGGCAGTAGCATGATTAAAGGTTTGTAACGATTTCCACATCAGGTTTAGAACACTGGAATTATTTAGAAATGATACTGAGGCCAGATATAGAAGATAACACACAGCATTATGGGAAGGAGAATAGGGTACTCACATTTCATGGTAAAGATTGTAAGAAAACAAAACAGATACACACAGTGAAACTGAAGACTTGGGACAAGTTTTGTTTTTAAATACATGTATACATACAACGCACAATTAGCTCCTGAAGTTCACAATCGTAGGGTAAAGACCCACAATTCAGTGGGGTTGGAGAGTGGGGAGAGAGAAGAGGTGGGGGGGGGAAGAGAGAGAGAGAGCGAGCGCGAGTGAGCGAGCACACAACAATACTATCACAAAGGCCAAGGAAGCATTATAAAAAGGTACTTTGGAAGAGAAGAGAGAAGTAATTTAATTCACTAAAATTTGAGTTTCCCAAGTTAGCTGAAACTCTAAAAGAGCAAGTCCATACTGCTGCAATAAAAACAAACTCGTAAATTCAACAAGAAACAGCAGAAAGACTAGCAGTACTGAACAAAACATCCATGTTTTACCTACATTAGCTCCATATGTTATCTCACTAGCCGAAGGATTTTAAACCTTGCTGTATTCAAGAGTACAGGATACTAGAATCCTGGAATCTCAAAAGTTATGTCTTAATGAATCTGTAAATATAAAGCAGACATATAACAGAACTAACCACAGAAAGGTACTAACAATATTTGAAGTAATAAGCAAAAAGACATATAGAAACCCAATATTATACACATGCCAGTTGAACCTTAAACATAAATCACTTGCTAAAGTGTTTTTCCACTTATTTATTGCTTTCTATTTCATTGGTTAGAGTAAGAAGAGGAAAAGGGGAAGAAAATAGAATTAAGTCACACTAGTATTTTAATATTTAAGTGGATGCTTACTCTTGGAGGCCCAATAATCATTCCTGTCCATCTTGTGAGTGTCATATCTTCATCATCTTCAAGACCCCAGCTAACTGTCCCATCACCTACTCCTTTTTGACCTTCTTCAAGTTCTTCCAACAGACGAAAATTACGAGGAACTTTTACTCCTAAAAATAATCAGAAAAACACCTTGATTTGAGAAAACCAACAGAGAAATAAAGTTAAGTATTTTGTCTGATATTTTTGGTAATCCTATAGAAAACATTTGGGGTGAAGAAAAATTAATACTATTACTTCTAAATGACAATACTTCAACAGTACGAAGAAGATACCCTTACAATTAGCTTGATTTTTCAAGCAATATCAAGCTATTCCATAATTAAATATGCTAGAAGGTTGACAGGCCACATATTACGGCATGCAGTAAAATGAAAGAAAAATCTCTCTACCCGTTCAGAGATAAACACACTACTATGGAGCTCTAATTAGTACTTCTCTGTATGATCTACAGTATGAAAATTTACAAGATTCTACAAAATGACACCGTGAGGGGCTTGACATAATTCAGCTTTCTCAAAGCTTTTAATAGTATCATTGAAAGCAAATAAGCCAGTCCTGTAACACCAGTACCTTAATCTGAAGTTAATTTAAGTGGCTTCATCAGTAGCAATAGTGTCTTCTGTACTTATGACCTCCATTATCAAATGATTTGATGACTTCATAATTGTTAGCACATTATCCTCGAAACACAGCAAATCAGGGAATTTGCTTATTCCTGTTGTATCATTGGAAAGCAATGGCATAGAGAGCTTAAATGATATATTCAAGGTCACACACTAACTCAGGGGTGGAGAAGGATCTTGAGCCCAGGCCATATAGGACTTAATTATTCATTCTTCAGGGCATCCACTCCCAAACCATGACAAAACATAAATGCATTCTGTGTCGCCGCCTCTCCTTCAAAGTATCCATGTGAAGTAGGTTATTTTTTTAAAATCAAAAGAAACAATCATCATCAGGATAATTACATGTAATGGAGTTATTTTCACCTGACATACAGAAGAGATTGAGTTTTGGGTTTGGATTCAAAGTTAACTATTCACCATTACATAACATAACAGAAAATCGTAACTAACGTCTTCCATCGTCACTTATTTAGTGCAACGGAAAAAGAATGGAAAATTAGCCTTCAAGGGTATGAAGTGTTCTCTGTAAGAAGTAAGCTCTTCTAGTATTCATGGGATTCCACAAGTAGAGGATGTTAGTAAGAGACCAAGTAAGAGCTTCAACAATCATCTCTGTAGCTGCTTCACAGTGCGAAAAATATAAAGGGTCTAAGGCTTCATGCAATGCAGCAAAGCTTAAAAATCTGTAACTCTGGTGCCTTTAAAATCCCTTTTAAATATATTGGTGACCTAAAGAAAATAAATGCCAATGCTGATTTTGCTGTGGAATCAAGAGCGTTGCCTAAATTTCATTCACTACAAAGCAAGGGAGAGAAATCAAAAAAGCAGGTTACTAATGAAATTAGTCTGTTGAACAGTTTGATATACATCTAAAACATCACGTTCAAGAATATTCTGGGGAAATGTCATTCAATAACACAGTTGCAGCAACAGTATGGACAGAAACTCAGAATTAGAAAACGGGCATTACAAGACACCAGAACTGAACTAGCTATATCAAACCAGATTTATTTGGGGCTGCTAAGCACAGCTCAAATGCAACTCCATGCCAAATCTATGTTCTTTAACTACTAGCGAGACTGTGCTGTTACCATGGCTGTCGAGTAATACAAATCTGCGGCTGTGAAAGGAAATGAGTCAGTCAGGGCTTGTGAAGCCATCACTGTAAGACTGACCAAGAACTGAGCTGCAACTACAGTCCCAAACCCAATGCAGTAACAGGACCTTTTAGGTACCATAGCCATTTCCCCTGCATGAAAAATCCCAGCGTTTCTCTTCCCTGTAAGTCTCAAAAATATGCAGTATGTATCTTATCTTGTGTGCCTTGGGCATATAAAGGTTCACGTATGCAGTTCATACTTGAGTTATGACAGATTAGCCACCCCATGTTTAATTACAATCCCAAGGCTCCCCATGCTGCAGTTAGGAGAAGCAGAGAAGAGAGCAGTCTAACACCAACAGAGAGGTTTAGAGAGCTGGGGGACAAGAGAAACAGATGGAGTATGAGTTGAAGGACAAGATGTCATCTTTAGTTACACATTCACATACCACTTATTTCACAATTTCTGCTTCAACCTGTGCATGGGAGAGTTGGTGAGTGGGAATGAGTCATGGCTGTGCAATGAGTGAAGCTGCTGTCTGGACTGCAGCCTTGTCTGCTGGTGTATTGTGAAGGAAGCAGGCAACTACAGAAAGAAAATGGACAATCAAGGACAAATGAATGTCCTTCTGAAGAGTGGGATGCTATCTTTGATTCAGAAAGAAAATCTCTTAGACAATGCAAGTCACACTGCGAAAAAAAACCCTTAAGTGGCTACTATTAGAAATCCAACTTGAGAGTTGTCTTGGAATCCAAGCCTCGAATATGTAACGTTACCAAAAAAATACTAACACTTTTGAACCACAACACTGTGATGCTTAAGAAGTGTGATTTTAGTCTTCCTCCATTTCAGTACTCCATAATACCACTTCATATCCATCAGTGGTATGGAAATAACTTACTGAGACTTGCAGGTAAGGACCTAGGAGGAAGCAACAACACCATGGAAGTACTGGATGGTTTACGGTAAACAGACACACATTGATGAAGGGAAAAAAAAAAAAATCAACTACCCTTTATACTGAATATCAAGCAGTCTGTCCACTGAATAAGGCAGGAAACCTGTGTGAAGAAAACAATTTGTGATCATGTAATTAAAAATTACATCATCACGTGTATGTTCAATGCGGCTGCAATAAGACTGAAAGGCAGTCTTAATTCTGACATTTCCTTACTAGAGCCAGGCTTGCCTTTGCAATCTTTACAGGAACAGAAGGCAACTTTGTTTCAGAGCTTTTCCAAGATACAGCTGCTCTGATTCAGAATGAATCAGAGCCATAAAACATTCATAAAGGATTTTAGAGCTCTCAGACAGGGCTGAGGTCTACAGAAAACTGGCTAGTCATATCATACAGTGGCTCCTATCACCCAGGAAAAGTTAACATAAATACTTATTAATTTTACAGCAACCGCTTACTTATGAGCGCTACAGGAACATCAGTAGCAAAGAGCTGCAAAAAAAGTATTTAAATTTGAATTTCCATGCTCTTCACAAAACAATAAAATTAGTATGGGAGATGGTGGATCACTTCACAATCAAGTCACCCCGTCTAATAACATCCTTGCCTTCTAAAAATGTTTTGTCCTTATGCTAAAACTCAAAAGCATAACATGGAAGACTCGCGCCTCACCCACAACACAAGGCAAGTTCAGAGAGTTGCATCGACGACAAAATCAGAATCCTTTGAGGACGTGTCCAGGGAGGAGACAACAGGGAGAAAACCATACATATACACATACAAGAATACAGCCGTGTGATTATAAGTGACTTAACTCATCTCTGAACAACCTACCCTTAAGCAAGGCAGAATAACTGACCAGACTGATGCCTCTGGGCAGCCTGGAAAGCTGCGTTACGCCTTTAACCTAACGCAGACGCCTGTCAATTTGCAGTGGCCTGGGAGCCGACACCGGTCAGTTCCCACATCCTGCCCAGACCTGAACTTCACAAATCATACAAACTTTATCCCTTGTGGTCATATGTAAACATACCATTGTGTTTGCTGTTCACCAGACTTCCTAGAAAGTGATTTGACCTGCTCAACACACACACAGCATTTGCCAAGCCGCTCGCATGGCTACAGCAGGGCCGCTTCTGCGACAAGATATATCCTACGTCAGCTGACACAACCGCAAGTCAACTGCGTCTCATCTCCCCCCACAGCAAACCCCAATAAATACCTTGCATAATCCTTTTAGCGTAGTAAGGGGGACTTTCAAGATAGTAATGAAACAAACCTGTTTTTTCTACGAGTCCTTCGTTTAACACGAGAAAACCTAAATAAAGTAACAAGCAATTAGAAAGTAATCAAGTTGTCAAAAATACTTTAGGTTATGCATTTCAATTTAGTCCTTGCTAAGGGCTGAGCAGACTCTGAAATAGCTACTTCATTCATGATACAAACATACAGTTACATCTAGATAATCGCTTCACTTACTGCTTGGCTGACCTCACAAAAATACTCCTAGAAATAACAGTATAAACATTTATGCGTACAAGGAGACAGAAATTTACTACTAATCACAACAGCAAACCTATGGAAGCTTAATTACAGCAGTACTGACGGTATAATACCTCCAATTGCATACATTTGTGCACGCTCTATGAAAGTTAATCTTTTAGGAAGCTTGCATACATGGACTCCCAACCCTGGAGACACTACTAGTTCACAAGGTTTCCAAAAATGTTCATGAAACTTTATTTTTACGGTAAGCTAGAAAACAAAGACAAATCACAGACTTACTTTTCCAGAAAGCAAATACATCTGAAATCTACAGAATTTAAAGTCACAGTTAAGAAACTGCTAGGTTTTAGGTGACAGAGCCTTAAGCCTTCAAAGAGAATCAGGACCTTTTGTTTTGCTGTTCAAAATCTCAGATACCGACCCTGCCGCACTACGTGTCACCGATGAGCATTCTCTATCAAGGCACCTCAGAAACTAAGGTGTTTTCTAAACAAAGATTGGCATGACCGTGACAACAAACTGAATTAAGGACAAAAGGAGTTTGACTTATTTTTGGTCAGAATCTTATTACTACAGTTTTGCATTAGGAAAGGACAGAATTATTACTTGGAGACAGCTGAATGTCAGCTTGGATTTTTGAAGATTTTTAAAGCACGCCCAGATTCACTTGATATCAGGCACAACTAAAGATACACAGACACACAATTGACTGTGTCTGACAATAGTTTTAGAAATTATCTTACCAGTCTGAGGTGATTTTTGTCATCTTATATTTATTCATTCATAGGAAATAGATTATATATTTCAAACAACCTGAGAATAATATTTTCTAAGAGATCATAATTTTTATTCTTTTATTTTTTCCAGTTATATAGTGGAAGTAATCCCAAATTTAGAAACTGCATATCCAGTTGCAA